GAGTTCCTCCTCCTCAGCCTCCCCTCCTCTTCCCTTTCCCATTTTGATAAGTTTGCAAGCAGATTACAAACTGTCATCTCAACATCTTTACCTTCCACAGTGACATCTCACTAGAGATCATAGCAGGTGGCAAATTGTTCTGATTTATGATTATTTGCATTTTTAATTTGTGCTATTTTAGGCCCACAGAGTTTTTTTTATGGGTGTTAAAATGGCAACACAAACATCAATACATAATTCATTATCTACTTTTCATAATACATGTGGTTAGCAACTCATTGATGAATCCGTCAACACTTTCAGCAAGATGAAGGTGCAGCTCTAGCGCCCTTGCTCCTCCCCTTCCCCTCTGTGCGCCATGCGAACAAACTGCAGCAGCCTGCCTGCTGCTATCTTGTCAATGGGAAATGCTTTCTCAGTTGCAGCTTTGTTCTTATTCAAAATGACCACATCTTAACTAAGGTAAAGTGTGTGGGCTTCCACAATTCTCTGACTTGGGAACATGGTACTTTTCAATAAGAGCAAAAGGGATACCTGCAGTCTCCATCCTGCTTTGTCCTTCCTTTCAAAGCCCCAAACCTCACGCTACAGTATTCTCTTGTCCTTTCCTTTCCCACTGCCACCGCCCCCCCCAAAAAAGCCTCCTGCTAGGCATGGCTGTTGGCATAACTCTAAATTGGAAGAAGCTATAATACCTATGATCCTTTGAAACAACAGCTACATGGCTAAGCAACACACACAGGCAGAATGCCTGGAATCTGACTGGGAAGACATCGGCAAAATGAAGGGGACCCTGAGCGATTTTATCAGAAAGATGACCAGTAAAAAAAACTAAGCAGACTTTCAAGAGAAATGTACAGACCTTATTATGTTCTTGGTGGCAGAAGCCGTAACTCAGACGAGATAGACAAACCCCTTAAGCATGCTACTCCAGGCGCCACTACCCAGAGAGAGGCCTCTCCCTCAGTGAAGTGCCTGGGACAGTCCGTCCCCTTCTCTGCCTCCCACTGCGGAGAGAGGGCAGTCAGCCAAAATGTCATCTGTGGGCAGTGCTCCCAGACCCCACCTGGTAGGCACCGTGGGCAGGACCAAGAAGACACACTCGGCACTCAGGAGTTGAGTGGTCACTGGCACTGTACAGTGCAGCCAGTGGTAGGTCCTTAGCTGTTTAATGTGGGCTGTTCTATCCCTTCAACCACCTTGTAACCTTGAGGGCGTCCCCATTTTACCATGTCCATCAGATATTGCTATTAAATCCATACATGCAGGACGAGTTTAACCCATAAATAAAAGTAATCACTTGCTTCATTTGTTGAAATGATAATCCTTTTAGGATTTTCTTCATTTCCTTTATTAAGTATTTATGGAATGCTGAATAGATTTCTGGGCACCATTCAAGATACTAGGAAGTCCTCAGTGGCCACGTTGAGCTTTAACATTTTTCTAAACGCAGGAAGATTAGAAAATCCTTGAACAGAACTATAAAATTTCCATACTACAGGTAATGGTTTTCCAGCAGGCACCTAACTCCTGCCACAATTTACTGCAGACCATGAAATTAGCTGCACTTCTTGCTAATGACTAGACTCTATTCTGCTGGTAATTTAAACCGACTCTAAACACAGTAGCCTTGGTGACTGAATCCAGGTTTTTATGCTAATGTCCATCAGGAAGAGTCACTCCCAGAATGAATGTCTTAGAGGATCTGGAGGATGACATGGGACATCTGCATGGAGAACCTGATAGTTTTTTTATTCAGTTGATGGCACTGAGTCATCTCTATAATCCATGGCTACAATCAGTAGTATGTTGTTCTTTTAAAGAAGAACAGACTCCTAAAGAGTGCATTTCAGAACATGTGCATTTTACTCCTTGTTCTTTTGTTACAATTTGACTCCCTTCTTGCTAGCTGCTCTATTCTCTGAGAAGATTTATAATGTCAGGAATGCACATGCAAGTATAGTTGAATAAGTAATAAAGTTTTAAAGGAGCGCTTATGTTAATTTATAATGCACCCTTTCTTGACAATCTGAAAGACATTATTTCAAACAAAGGTAACTAGGGGGATGTTAATGGCCAATGAATGTGTATTTATGTGAACTTCTATCTGCCTGAATCACTAAAAAGGATTTGTCATCATGTTAGTAGTATTCTTAATTGTCAATAATTTTCATAATTTACTTTTTAAATCAAAATATCATAGTAAATGCTTTTAGCAGATTTCCAATTTTAGGTGTCATATATACTAAAATACTCCAGACTTTGGGTTTTAGTAAAAGGAAACACATGGCCTAGATGTAATTCCAAATGTAAGTCTAGCTTCATTTTATTTAGTAAGGCTGGCATGCTCCCAGATTTCAAATAAATAGAGAATTGTGCCATTATCCAGATAACCTGATTCAGAAAAACATTTTTTTCCCTCGAATTGTGTTTTTCTTGGCCAGAAATATCTAAATTAATTGGCTTAGCCAGTATTTTTTTTCCCATAACTTATATGCAGATTCAGTCTGAAGCCCAGGCTACAGCAAAATTCCACCAAGTTTCCTTGGGACATCATCAGCCTTAGTGCTGGTAGGTGGCGTTTACTGGATATAAACAAAGAAACTAGAGACAACAGCTACGTTTCTTGTGAGCTTCTTCCAGTAATCTCTACATTTGCTTCTACCGGTTTTGCTAGATGAAGCTATGAACAAGGCAGGATTTAGGCAAGTGTCTCCAATTCAGTAGATGGGCACAGATGGATTAAAATTAGTTACTAGTGTTCTTTATCTCTTCACAGTTTTCGGTGCCCTATGGCCTGACTTTTCTGTCCCTGGCTGTGGGGTGATCCCATCCCTACAGAGAAGCTTCCGTGGTTGCATGCAAGCACGGCTATTGTCCCCCTCTTTTGTTGTAGTGCCTCACACTCTACATCAGAGGTGGCCAACCCTTTGGCGTCTCTGGGCCACACTGGAGGAAGAAGACTTGTCTTGGGTCACACAAACGAAAACTGATGAGCAAAAAAAGTCTGTGTGTAATTTTCATGGTATCCACCACCACAGATAAGCAAAAAAGTTCTCACATAATAATCCTAATTATGCAGTGGCCCTCTCAATAATCTTTTAAAATCATCCAGCAGGTCCCAACTTTGTGATCGCCAATATAGAAAATGTACATATTTAAGTAATAAAACTTAGCAATAAAACTATGTAATGTTTTAAGTAAATTTATGATTTTGTGTTGGGCTATGTTCATAGCCATCCTGGGCTGTACGTGGCCTGTGGGCCGTGGGTTGGACACCCCTGCTAAATCCTTGAACTCATCTTGCCTACCCAGTCAAGTAAATTTCCCAAACTCCAGCTTCCATCCTTTTAGTCTCCTAATCACAAACTGTGTGTGGCTCTCCATTTCCTACAAGATAACATCCCAGGTGCCCAGCCTGACACAGGGCCCTCTGATGTCTGCCTCCAGCACGTCTCCTCAGTGTTTCTCCGGTGCACCTGTGCAGGAAGTCTAGTCACACGGAGCTTCTCAGCAGCCCCCTGCCTGCTGGGGGCCATACGAGACCTTACCCTCGCCCTCACCTGCCTCCTCCGAATGCCCACCTTTCTTCCCACTGATGCAGTTCCTCCTGCTCAGCCACACCAGCCTAGTTCTCTTTCCTTCTTTGAGATCTCCCTGAGTGATGAGGTCCCTTGCTATGGGTTGGTACCCATCTTTAGCCATCTAATTGTGCCCCATGTCGGGGCAGCTCTTGCACTGGCCTCTTGTTTGGGCAATGAACTTTTCTCCTGCAGGTGACATCTCTTCCCAGGTCCATGTCAGCCCTGCCTGTGACCCCTTTTTAATATGCTCCATAGCATCATAGTCTCCAGTTGAAAGGCAGGAGGAGAAATTATGAGCCCAGTTGTAGATTCTGCTCTTCCAGCCACACCTTCTACAGTGGAGAATTCACTTACCATTCAGATAAAGACAGATGAGACTCTGAGAAGCCCAGTGCATGAAAAGGGCCTGTGACCTGCAATTTCCCATAATGGCTAAGAGCTGGTTCTGATGTCCTAGTGCCTAGATTAGGATGATGGCTTTGCTACTACTGGCTGTATGGTATCTCTCCACCTCTGTGCCCTCATATAAAATGAGGGTAATAACGGTATCCTTATCAATGGTTGTTGAGATTAAACAACATCATATTAAGGTAGGTAGTCTTTGGCACACAGTGAGTACTCGCTGAATGTTTTTTTAAATATTATTGAACACTGTCAAAAAGAATTAGGTCCCAGTGTTCTCTTTCAGAGTGAATGTCAGTTAACAGGAAAATCACAGGCCCACTATTTGGATAAAGGACTTGGGAGATGGGTTTCCATCCCCTGGGCTAGCCTGGTAGGTCCAGGTGTTATCAGGGCGGTTGAATTACAGGGCTTTGCCCAGGTACTGGGGTGACAAGCCAAAATCGACAGTTTTATTTTCATGTACCTTCTCCTTAGCCCATTTGACAGGACAGCAGCGATTGCTTGCTGAATTGAGAGAGGCTTCAGCCAAGACTTTTTAGCATTAGATAGGAGACTGAATCTAGGATCAGCACAGTCCAGGATGGGATGGAGATGTGAAGCAGACAAATCAAAGCCATGCAGGTGAGACGGTAAGACCAAGAGCTGCACTAGGAGACCACTGCAGGATTTCTAGATACCCCTGAGCTCCCTGGGTGTAGGGCTGAGGCGCTCACACCAGAACCACAGGGTGAGCCTGCCTGCATGCAGCTGGCCTTTTACTGCATGGATTTGTGGGAGCCATCTCTTCACCACATTCATGTGTTTTCAAATATTCCACCTGATGTGTGGCTTTTCTTTTTCAGGCCTACACCTGACACAGGTTGAAGATGCCCTTCCTCTCTGTGAGCCCAAAAGACAAGATCCCGAGACCGTCACCCTGTGTTACACCGGAAGACAACCTGTTTGGCTACTAGACACACCTGGAAGTGCCCACTGCGCAAGCTGCCTGCAGGGTGGTGAGTGGTGAATTACCTTGAATTCAGTCTCAATGTTGGCTAGTCTGGCTAACTCATTGCTTAGCTCCAGTGCGGTGAGGACAGGGTCTTCGCTGGACAAGGACAAGTAGGCGGCACTCGCCAGTCCCTTGTAGGCATTCATGCGGGAGCGCGAGTGGCTGAAGGAGTCCTTCCGCTGCTTCTCGGTGCACTCGTTGCACTTGCAGAAGTAGTCATGGGGCCGCTCAATGCGGGCGCCCTTCAGCAGGAGGATGTGCACGATCTCATACTCCTGGCAGTGTGCAGCCAGGATGATGGGCGTGATGTCATGGGAGAAGCGCGTGCCATCCTCATCGTAGGCGTAGAAGTCGTCATCGCGGAGCTCCTGCTCCAGCGGGCTGAGCGTCAGGCGCTGGCCTTGTGCGAAGGCCGGGTGGTTGAGGATGGCCTCCACGATGCGCACGTAGCCCTTGCTGATGGCCAGCAGCAGCGCGTCCCCCACCCGGGCCAGGTTCTCCTTCTTGAGCAGCAGCTCTGTGACCTCCAAGTGCTCGTTGCCCACGGCCAGCTGCAGTGCGTTCTGCCCCATGTAGTCCACACAGTTGAAGTTGAGGGTCTTGGACTCCTCCAGCATTTTCCTGACCACCGGGATGTTGCCATACTCAGCCGAGTCCAGGAAGCGCTCCTCCTCGGGTGTCAGGCTGGTGCCCTTCTCATTGAACATGTAGGCAGGACCCCGGATGGCCTGGCGGCGGCCCTTCTCCCTCAGTGTCGTGTGCCGGCGCTGCATGTTTTTGAAGGTGCTGCTCCCCAGCCTGTGGGGCAACAAGACAAAGATGCTCATTACTCTCCCACAGGCCTGCAGGTTTTCCTGGGGCACAGCGAGCAAACATTGTTGAGATCCAAAAGAATGTTATGATTGGAATCTTAGGAGAAATTATGAAACCTTATTAGAAATCATTGATTACTGAGGTTAAGACGGATTGGATAACCTGAGCTATTCTTATTCAAGTGGAAGTATTAGTTAGCCAGCATCTACACTACTCAGGGAGAGGAGTGGTAGCCAAGCTGGAATGGGGGTTTAGGTGGAGTGTCATGGGAGGTGGAGGCGGTGGGTGTGGGGTACTGATGTGGTTGACAGGCCAAGGGCTGTCCGTTTCATTTCCATTTGTGCGAAGTTGAGCATGTCACTTAACTTCTCAGAGCTTTTAGTACACCACTTCTCTGCACTTTTACCTGTACAATGTGATTAATATTTTGTGTGCCATGGGATCCACAGGGGGATTAAATGAGGTAACATGCATGTGGAAAGTATTCAATCAATGCCGGCTTGTTCTGTCCCCTCCTGCCTGTTAGTAAGCCCAGTTCTCCAAGGGCTGTGCCGTGGACATGGCCACCACGGACACTGCTGCCCTCGGTTCAGTTATGTTGTTCCCAGCAACAGAACCGTAGCAACATGTGAGCCAGCTGCACACCACTGCTTCCGCGTTCAGCGCTGTCCTGTGTGAGGGCTGTGCTTGCTTTCTGGCCCCTGTAAGCCTGAGCGTGCACTGAAGGGCAGGAGGGCGGGTAGTAGCGGGGAGAATTATTCCATTTACTCATGGCCTCACAGCAGCCCTCCTGGAAAACCTTAGCCGCGACCTCTTAGGAGCAAACCTGGGTTTTTACGTGGGTGGAGGTCAGGTCAAGTTATATGCTGGGTTCATTTTAATGTGTTCTTTCCCATTGTAGCATAGTGTAGAGGTTAATACTAATACTGTTAGTAATAGTAGTTAACAGCTATTAATCACCTATTATGTGCCAGGAGCTATATTAAGATGTTAATATACTTCACATGTATTGCTTGTATAATTCTTGTGTCAACCCTATGGGTATATAGTATTATTTTCTTTATCTCAGATGAAGATTCTTAGACAGGTGGGGCTGGGAGACAGGCTTGGAAGTCAGAAGGTCTGGAATCAGAATCCTGGCTCCACCTTTTCCAGCCTTGTGACTTTGGACAAGTTACCTAATATTTAATTTGCCATGGTTTTAAAGTGGCAGACTGGAGAGAATAACAGTTACAGTATACTTTGAGCTTGAACTAGATACTTCATCTCCAACTAGTCTTCAGATCTTGAGCGGGTCCCTAGCTCAAAATGCTTTCACCATTAAATAGAAAGCCTGGACCAGAGGTTTCCTAACTTTCTGTGAACTTGAACATTTCAAACTTTTCTAGTTTTCCAATCGGCCCTACCCATATTTTCTATTCTCCCTTTCTAGTCTACCCCTACTCATATTACTCAAGTAATTCTAGAATGGCATATGTTTCAATAACAGCGTATCTGTCCTAAAGAGTAAGTACTTGGGGATTGTTTTTTGAACTGTTTTCCATGTTCCTGTCTGTCTGTTATTGATTATGTCTCTCTGCATTAAGGATTCTCCGTATTTCACTTAAGCCTATTTGTAAAAAATAAGGTAATCACAGAAGAAGGCTTTTAAATTAAACATAGTGTTTTGAGATTAAAAAAAAAAGTAGTAGTGTTACCCAGTCTTCAGAATTTTTTAAATTTGGGGCTTTATATTTTTCTGCTCAACTTAGCATTTGTTCTGCTCAGACCCTTTTGTTTTAGCTCCCTTAGGGGGCCCTGTCTGGTATGAAACAAAGGCTTGGAGGTCAGAGTTTGCGCTCTCATTCTGCCTGGGCCTGAGTCACACTTCTTGGGAGAAACTGCTAAACTATTCAGTGGAGCAGCTTCTTTAGCTGGAAAAATAAAAGGAATAATTATGGGCAACTCCATGAAAAGGCAACTGTGGGTGATAAATCCTAGTAGAGAGCTCTGTACTCCTTCAGGAAGAGCATCTGAACTGCCTTCCACTTTCCTAAAGTGCACTTGGGTTGAAGATTGCTGGGGAAAAGATTCTTAGGATTCAAGTTCATGTGCTCCTTCTAAGCCCATTACTCTCAACAATTTCATTATTCCAGAGAGGGAGGCCAAAGTAGACCATGGACTGAGAGTCCAACAGAAGAGGGCCTCACAAACAGGGTACAGGCGTTAGTTATGGGTTTTTCAAAAGGAGAGGGGGTGACTGAATTGAAAGTTAAGCATTCACCTCATTTTCATTCCCAAGGCACCTTGTTTCAAAGGATGTTATGAATTTGGTTGTAAGGTCTGTTGGCTGGATACACAGACTCAGGTGGGAATTGAGCCCATGAAAGACTAATAATCCTTCCCGTAGTATTACTCAGACTATCCTATGATGAAGCTCATACCATGTGCAGGAGCACCTTTCTGGACCTAGACATAACAGCTCTACTCAAGAAAAGACAATTTCCACTCAAGAGCATCTGAGCAGTGTGGCAGAGACGGAATGGCAGCTGTCCTGGGAGGAGCTTGAGCTTGATTCCACATTACTTTTCCTTCAGAGGTCTGCTCAAGAGGGAGAATAGGTCAGACTCCAAGGTCAAGGGTAAACAACTATTACTCAGTAACAAGCCATGGAAAGATTAATTCAAAGGAAATATAATAACTACTGAACCAAGTCAGAGTAGAGAAATGTTTCACAAGGAACACATAATTACCCAATCTAAATTCAGAGTCCACATGAATATCATAGGTACTACAGCTTACAAATTTAAAGGATCTGAAAGCATTATTTGTTAATTTCTTTGATTAAACAAATGAACAAACATAAAAAGCAAGGTATTGGCATTCTCATTTTTTAGGTAGAAACTCTGAGGTAGGAAATGTGAAAAGATGAAATCTTAGGGCAAATAATTTCTGCACAAGAATAGAGCATCGCATATATCTTGATGTTTCTATAATAATTATGTCTTACCTAAGAAAAAAATATATGAATGGCTAGTATTTGTGAGAAGTTAAAATGTCCTCACCAGTTGGCATGTGTTTTTTTCAAATGACCTTGAAAGCAGACACCCAGGTATAGTAAATAAATAACCCTCTTTTTCCCAACCTTTAAAACCTCAGCTTTGACATCCATTTGGACGTTCATAGAACTGTCAGTTCTGCTCCTTTCCCAGCAGAATTTGGTACTGAGGAACCCTTGTGGGCCTTTAAGTTGTGTATGCATGCAAGCATGCAATGGGATATACTACTCAGGGAGATTGCTGCCAGCGTAAAGGGTTTCACAGCAGACCCTGGAGCCACGTGAATTGATCCAGATATTGATGGAGGCCCTTACCCTGATATCCCTCTAATGATGTTTTTTGAACATATTTTAGCTTTATTAAGTTATAACTGACAAATAAAATACAACAGTAAAATATTTAAAGTATGCATTGTGGTGACTTAATATATGTATACATCATGAACGGAATCCCATCATTTAGTTAATTAATACATTCATCACCATGTATGTACATATGTATGTGTGTGTGTGTATATATATAGAGAGAGAGAGAGAGAAACATTGAAGTTTTACCCCCTTAGCAAATTTTAATTATAAATCAGTGTTATCAACCATAGTCGCCAAGTTTTATATTAGATCTTCAGACTTTATTCATCTTATAGTTGAAAGTTTACACCCTTTTACCAATCTCTCCCTCTTTTACCCATTTAAACATTTCTATACCTATGACTATATTAGGCCTCCACATCCTTGCCATTTAATCTTGACTTTAGTCAGACTTCAGTCATATGTTCCACATGGGTTGGAAAGAATCCACAAAAAATATGGCAGAAAGAGGAAGTCATTTTGTCCACAATAGCTGGTGGCCAAAGCTCACATCAATGAATCCGGTGTGTTTCTCTGCTAGACTCTGGGGATTTCATCACAGTTTTCGGGCCAGTAAGGAGCAAAATGATTCTTCCTAAAGTGTAATTTGCATTTGATTGCCCATACTTTAATATTTTTCTTAAAAAATGAACTTTGAACCTAAGTGTCTCTTTATTTGCATATGTTATTGAGAGAATGAGTGATCAAACTCATCAAACACCTCAATTAAGGTAGTGTTTTTTATTTTCTGTAAATGCATACACTGACATTTGATGTCATTGAGAAGAAATATTTCAGTGGAAACAAAACCATATTGGAGAGGAGGACTGATTATTAAACTTCCTCCTAATCCCTTGGTTGCTATTTTTACCAAGATGCTCTTACAGATGCATCAGTCAGTCTGAAGGAAGCCAGATGTCAGTGATCCATGAAAAGTATGAATTCTGCACATTAAGTCCAGCTGCAAATGAGCATGACCATAAAGCCTTTTAGAGACAGAGGTTGTTGTTAATTACTGATGAAGAAAAGGTCACTTCATCAAAATGCCCTTTTAGAGATATTTGTTGTCTTTTTTTTTTTTTTTTTAAAGAACTCGTACATGTGCCATAGGTCTCTGGAAATTCTTCAAGTCTGAAACCAATTCAGTCTGTAACATTCCCCAACTGAATATAGAAGCAAACAAAATTCAAGAGTCAGGTCAGTCACCCAGGGTGACCCAGCCCTGGTCTATGCAAGTGTACATACTGAATTTTAGTCCGGTGATTTGGAATCTTCTCCGAAATGCAACTCTCTTACCAGTGGAAAGAGAATCACAAAATCTATGTAACATGTGCTTCAGGACCAGAGTAAGGATGAAGTAATGTATATCAGATACCCTGAGTACTAGAAAGCTTTATACAAATATCCATGATAATAATGATCAAAACCTTATATACCAATACACTTAGGTAAATGATTATAACTTGGCTATACTCTACACTGATACTTTTCAGGCTATTTTTCTAAAGGACTATATAATAGTGATAGTCAACATATATTATGCATTTGACCTTTGCCAGACACTGTGCTAAATGTATTATATGAATTATAATTTTAAATTCATACAAATCATGTGAAGAGCTTAGCTGT